TTTCTGGCTAGGTAAGTCCTCACTTTATAGTAGAAAGTGTGCACCCCCCACCCACCCAGCCAGTATTCTTCAGTTGCACAGGTGATAGTTCCTGTTGCAGTTCCGGTTGCTTCTGTCTCTTAGAAATATCTGGACACTATGATACATATTGTAAGAACCAATTAAAGGCAAGTATTCTACCTCTATATTCCACCTCTTGCAATCCTGTAAAAGCTTCCCTCCTTGGCCCTTCAAGGCTGACATTTTAAGGAACACTTGATTCCTAGTCATTGCCCATGCAACATTAAATAAACCTGCCTACAAATTCTGGTTGTCATTTTGGTGTTTTTGTTTGCCATTGCATCTGGTGCATTGATCAGGAAGACCAATTGTGCTGACCTCTTTGGTCACCAGTTGTGGTTATCATAGATGGAGCAAGGACCTCTCCAGGTCCCAACAGGAAGGCATACCCTCAAGATCCCTTGAGTCCCTTTGGGTCTAGAGGAGGATTCCTGGCTCCCTGCTTGAGCAGTTTACATCAGCCCCAAATGAGGATGACTCAATGTGTTTGCCTGCCTGCCTGCTTGCCTGCCTGCCTGAATCCAGTGAGGTTCCTTGGTACACTGCAGTTAGTCTGTCAGTCCTGCTCAGCTAGAGCAGAAGGGGACTTTGATCAACCTTTGTTAGGGCCACCCTCAAGAGAAGGAGGTTAGAATGAGTGCCTGCTGAATGAATATGGGAGTGAGGGGACTGGACAGCATAAGCCATAGCCTGTGCCATCTGTGCACCAAGCCTGGGAAGCACTGGCTGCAATGGCTGATTGAGCTCTCACCTGTGATTCTATGGTGACTGACATGTGGCATAACAGAGGCCTTGCACCCCCTTAACTAAATTATGGCCAGGTTCCCACAAGGGATAAAGTCAGATGGGCATCTAAGTGGTCTCTGTCTGAGGGGCACCTACCCTTTGTTGTGCCATCATTCAAAGGTATACAACATACACAAAGGAAATCAGAGATGGAAACTAATTAGTTAAAACCCACAGGCCCTAACTGCAGGAAAAAGGGCTTTTACAGTTAAAAATAACACCAAACCATCACTGCATTTCAAAGAAAGAAGGGGAGGGGGAGAATGAGGAGGAAGAAGAAGTTCAAGAAAGAAGCAGCAGCAGCAGCCGCCCATTGTTCCTGAAAATTCTGCTTTGGCACCCTTGTTGACCACCACAGTTGCTGTCAGCACCTGTACCTTCACTTTCCACTTCTGACTCATCTACTTTCAGCCAGTTGAACTAGTTACAGCTACCATTGCCTGCAATTGTACAGAGCCTTCTGCTTCCTATCCTAGTCAGATGGCATCATCTTATGCCCACCTGAGATGACTGTCAGCAATTGCTTCTAAGTTCCACATTCTGACTGAAGAAAAAATTGGAGTGTCAGTCCTGATTAATGGGTTGATGTTGCCTTTAAACAAAGTAACCCGGTCAAGCGCTCCTCTGAAACATAAAAAAGGTAGGGGAAAAGCCCATGAACTACTGTTACCCAGAAACCTAATAAGACAAAATCACTTGATAACTGTAAGAAAATTCAATCTGATGGATGACTATACCCTCTAACTACAAGTTATAAGGGCTATGGACACAGAAAATAAATGTCTTGTCCATCTGCAAGACACAAAGAAACCTGACTATCCAGGGCCACATCAGCTTAAACCTCTGCTCACCCTGTCAGGCCTGGATGGATAGGACAACCCAAGTTCTTATCAAATTGGGTCCCTGAGAGCCTGCAGTCGTTGCAAAAGTCAGGGGCAAATATGTGGGTTTCCTGGCAGAACAGAACTCTGCCTTCAGAAGTCCCCTCTGTTGAAAGGGTTACTATCACCAGGGCACTCTTGCCTCTTATCCCTTATGCGAGGCACAAACTTGCAACTTGGGAGGACATCTCTCCAAATAAATTCCTCTATAAGCCAGTCCCCATACCACTTCTGGGAAGAGACCTCCTCTTCAAGTTAGGAGCAGTCACCTCCTTTGCACTAAGCTAGTCAGCCTCCCTCTTGTTTAAATCTGCACTTTCAATTTTGACTGTTCCTCGACAGGTGGATGATGCCTGTATCAGCCTGAGACAGGTAACAGCAATCCTGAAGTTCTAAGAACTCTTTTCCCAGAGATATGGGCCAAAGACTCACCTTATCATCAACCATGCCACCTCTCTGCAACCCCTGTTGCTGTCAAATGTCACGGGAAGCACGAACAGACATCCAGCCAAACATCAGCTTTATAGACTGTTAATCGGGGCAAGATCTCCATGCCATCAACATTGCAGCCATTGCATTGCATTTTGTGGTTCCCAACCCCAGCACCCTTTACGGACTGTTACTCAATTGCTGCAAGAATTTGAGAACTCTCACACTATTTTAGGGGAGGCCATAGCAACAGATTTGGCTCTGGGACCTGTTTCTCTGTCCCTTCTTGCTCTGTTATGGTCCCCCAAGGGAAAAAAAATGAGGCTTCAAAACTGTAAAATGTTTATAGACTGCCAGTCTCCTAAAATATACCTCTCCTGCCTATAAAGGCAGTTTAAGATCTCTGAACTGCCAATGCCGCTGCAATTGCCCTTCCTACATGTTGCCTCAGTTGCCACCTGCGGTTTGCTAGTAACCTGCGTGGATCTAAAGAGTGCCTTCAGTTGGCTACCATCAGCCAGCCCCTCTTTGTGTTCAAATGGAAAGACCCAGTTCTGGACTCAAAAGTCAACTATCCTGTACTCAACCTCCCAGAGGTTGAAACTTTGTTTATCCTCTTTGGAGAAGCCCTCACAGCTGACTTCACTAGTTTCCCGCACAAAATATCATTGTACTTCCAATTAATGACAACCAAGCTGCTGGCTGAAAAGACACAAAGCCCTGATGGTAATATCTGGTAGAAACTGTTTACAAGTAAAAAAAAACTTCACAGGTTTCTTGGAGCTACTGGCTTCAATAAAATTTGGATTCTTGAGTTCACAAAAACAATGATGTTTAATCAGACTGTCAGCCCTTGAGATTGCCCAGTGGCCTTCCTGTACAGATACTGGGATCTAGTCACTAAGGGCTGCCTCCTTGCTTTGACTTTGTGCTCTGAGTGTCACTGTCCTTCTGATGAAGAAAGCTGACGAGCTCACTTTAGGCCAAGACTCCAAGTGCCACATGTAGTACTAGACCTCCTAAATAATGGTGGACCACTCAGTCCTGCCACATATCTGCCCATTAAGCTGGGCCCACCAGACCATGACTTAAAAATAAACCCCTTAACAAATGCTGAGTACACCCTGTTTACAGATGAAAATAGCTCTGTTAGGACTGGAGTCCAACACGCTAGATGAGCTATGGTCACCTTGCACAAAGTTGTTTTGGCTAAAGCTGTCCTGCTACTGCTTCCTGCTGCTATTTGGAAACCTGCCACCAAAACCCCCAATTTACCAAAGCATCCACCCCAGCCAGAAAACTAGTGGGCTAGAGAACTAGTACCACCCCAGCCTGGTACTATTTGAAGATTAAAGCCAGACCTGCCCCCATCATTTGTTCTGCAAGTTCAAGCTGCAGTGCTGCCAGCTGTAGCTCTGCAGCCAGCTCAGACTTAAGTGTCTGTTACTGACCCTAACCTCCACTCTCAGATATCTGTAGGTGCTTATATGCACATATTTAGGCGGGTTTCAGGCATTCCTTAGCTGAGCTGAGAAGGCAAACAAAAGTTTATAGGGTCCTGCTGGGAAAAGTCATCCCCAGATATGGGCTACGCTTGATTATTGGCAACAACAGTGAGCCTGCCCTTGTAACAGAGATAACTCAAAACTGGCAGAACTGTGCAACACAAAGGTCATAAAACTAAAAGTTAAATGAAGCAGTGCTATTGAAACAGCTTGTAACTAATTCCATAAAAGTATAGCTAAAAGATCAGTTCTATACCTTTAAGAACTCCTGCACACACATATAACCCAGCTGCATTTTAACTGCTTCATAAGTTTCAGAAATCCAGCTTTGGATCTACAATACCAGAGTTCTAGAGAGTTTACCTCCACCAGATAGTGTCTCTAAAGAAATGACACACTCAAAAGCCCAGCCCTGGTCACTCCAGATGCTGACCAGTTTATGTAAAGCTAAAGTCTGAGGACACTTCACAGGATTCTGCTATACATCATTCGTTATTCCCCTTTATGCCTTTTCAGGCTGCTTACTTCAGTCCTTATTTCTCCACCCCTTGCTAGCTTTGGTTTTTGCCATTACTTTAGGAATGATTGCCCCAAGAGAATATAATAGTCAAACACTTGACCAAGATTTGATGAGTATCCAAGGTACCCTGGACACTCTCCTAGATCTGACTAACTCCCTCACTACCTTGCCAGAGGAATGTTACACAACTGACAGGCCTAAATTATGTCTTTTCCTAAAAGCAGCTTTGGGAGAGACACTATAATAAGGGAAACAAACTATGAACTCCTGGTAGAAATGTTCAGTCTTGGGAACCGAGCATAGTACCCATCCTAGGACCAGTGACAGCCCCAGTGTTATTGCTTCTAGTTTGGCCTTGTCTTAGGAGATCACTGGTAATGTGCCCAGCAAAGATTTGCGGGGAAAACTAAAAGAGGGGGTAATGTAGCAGAAAATGCTCCTGCAGCTAGTATACTTCAGTTGCTTAGGTGATAGTTCCAGTTGCTTCTGTCTCTTAGAAAAGGTTGGTCACTGTGGTTGCCAAATATTCTTACCTCTGTACCCCATCCCTTTGTAACCCATACAAACCTCCTTCCCTAGGCCTTTGAAGCTTCACATTTTGAGGAACAATTGATTTCTAGTCATTACCCATGTGACATTAAATAAATCTGCCTCCAAATTCTGGGTGTTTTGGTGTTTCTGTCTGCCATAGCAACTTGAATGCTGTTGCCTCAGCTTTTCCTCAGTTGCTTTCTACATACTGATTCTTTTTGTGCCAAAATAGATCCTTCTCCTAAAGACAACTTTCTTTCTTTCTTTTTTTTTTTTTTTTTTTTTTTGTCTTTTTGATCGGTACCAGGGATCGAACTCACGACTGCCTGCTTGCAAGGCAGGCGCTTATGCTGCTGAGCTAAATCCCCAGGGCCCCCCCCCCCCGCCTTTTTTCTATCGATACCAGGGATCGAACTCACAACTGCCTGCCTGCAAGGCAGGTGCTTATGCCGCTGAGCTAAATCCCCAGCCCCCTTTCTTTCTTTGTTTTTTGTTTTGTTTTTAGTTTTATTTAAGGAGAAAAAGAAAAAAAAAAAAACAGAAAAAGGATACCAGTTATAAAAATTTCAGAAAAAATAAACAGTAGGAAATCACTAGTTAATAGATATACATATTGTTATCTTAGAAATAGTTGTTCAAGTTACAAAATTAAAGCATATAAAGTGGACATTCAAAAAGTGAGACTGCAAACAGTTCTGTTCAAAGATCCAACAGAACTCAGTAGTATCATTATCTATCTTACATACTTAAATATACATGCAGTTATATCCTTTAGAGCACTTTCTTTTCCTCTCTTTTGTACAATGACAATTACACATTTTGGGTTTTATTGCTCCCACAGTTCTTGCTACTTTTTTTGAAGAGAATAAAACCCAAATGTGACCTAACAAAACAGAGTCAATCCAATCAAAAGGATGGACATAATACATAATGTAAAAACAAAATACAAGGTGATCAACAATGATTACCATAATGCTTCTTGCTGTCTTAAAAAAAATTGCCTATATCATCAGTTATTACAAAATTGAACAAAACAGTAAAGAACAAAACCAGTAAAACCAAAGCATTGGAGACATTACAGTACTTCAAAAGAAGATGGTAGTCAAACCAGAATAGGTGTCATAATGAATCTGACTGTCTTCACAGTTGTTGCATATACTGTTGAACTTGGTAGTATCAAGCAAAACAGAATACAGGGAAATCAAGATGGTGCGAGCAATACAGGGTTTCAAATCAAGTTAATAGGAAATCAAAATGGGTTACTACAATATATCCTGCTTTTTTTATTTTTCCCTTAATTAAAAAGATAAAAATAAATAATAAAAAAAGGAGATTGAGATACAAGAGACATAACAACAAAACAGCACAGGTCGAAACATAACCATTTAAGCAAAATAGTGTTTCACCACTAGATATCCCGACATAAAAGTAGTTACCATAGTGTCTCTTTCCTTGAAATCTTTTAGTATAACTTCATATACTGTAGCATCAAACATATCAAGACAATGTAAAACCATTCAAGAGAATGACAGTTTTTCAGGGTATTTAGAACCAACTAAGAGAAAATGAACAATGGTTTCTGTATAATCTCCTTGTCTATAAAAGTTTTTGTTTATATTATCACATATACTAAAATCCAGTAAGATACAACATGTTAAGACAGATGGAGACACAAGAACAAAAGCTTGATGGGACTTCAAAACAAGATGATATTAAATCAGCACTAGCTATTATGATGTCTTGTTTCTCCAAAATAGCTGTTCCTACCATCCAACCTTTTCTGCCTCATTTCTGTTGAGCTCTTTTTCTGTCATTAGTTGTCAGTTTGTCTTCTTCATTTTGCTTTCTGCTCCATTCATTGTGGCCTCTCTGCCACTGTTTCTGGAATCTTGGTATTTTTCTTTTTTTAGGATGTCCTGCAGTATTCTCTGTAGAGTTGAATTGGTGGTTGCAAATTCCCCTAGTTCCTCTGTATCCTGGAAGCACCTTGTTTTTCCATCAATTTCTAGGAACAGTTGTGCAGGGTTTCAGGTTTCATATCAATCTTGGCTGGAGGTTATTATCTTTCAAAGCTTGAATTATTTCCCCCCATGCTCATGATTTGATGGTTTGTGTCGAGAAGTCTGCTGTAATTCTGATGGGTGTTCCCTTGTAAGTGATCTGTTTCTTGTCTCTGACGGCTTTTAATATTCTGTTCTTATATTGGATTTCTGGAATTTTTATTATTATATGCCTGGGTGTTGCTCTGTTTGGGTTGTAGGTGGCTGGGGTCCTGTATGCCTCATACATCAGAGTATCTTTACCTTTTGCTAAATTAGGGAAATTCTCCTGGATTATTTCTGTGAATAGCCTTTGTAGTTCATTTGTTTGTGTCTCTACTTCTTCTTTTACGTTCTTCATTCTTAAGTTATAGATCCTCTTATCATCTTCTAGCCTTTGTATTATTGCTGTTTGTTTCCTTGTTATTTTTAAGAAGTTTTTCATTTCATGCTCCCACATTACAAATCTGTCCTCCAGTTCAGATAATCTATCCTTAGTTTCTTCAAAGCTGTTATGCCAGCTTTCAATGGAGTTTTTAGTTTCCTGGTAATCTCTTTGAACCTGCTTCACGTATTCTATATTTCCTGTATTTTCTCCTTCAAACAATTCTCCCCTTTTTTTCTGTTCTTCCATTCCACCATCTGTTTTTTCTTGGGTGGTGCTTAGCATTTCTCTAACTATTCTACTTAATATCTTGCTTTAGGTCATTAAATACTTCACTTTTGAACTTGTCTATGAGGCTCTGGAGATATTGCTTTATGTCTATTGGTGCTGTGTCTGATATTGCATGTTTTCTGTCCTCATTCTCCTTTGCATTTACTCCTGGATCAGTGTTCTCAGGATTGGAGGCCGAGGACCCTTTTTTTGTTGCTCCCTCTTCCCATACTTTTTGTTCTTTCCATACAAGTGTATATAGGAGGCCCAGTTTCTTCCTTTGTTGGTTACAGTTCGTTTTAATTGCACCAGCTAGATGTTCCCGCCCACTGCAGTGTATTAGGGAGACACAGACTTGGGCAGCCTCTGCTGGGCCCGCCCCTCCAGGTCAGTCAGTCTACTGAAGGCTTCACTGCTGGGGTGCACCGCCAGGCGCTGGGACCTGTTTGGGCTAGCCTACTGGGTCTTAGTCCACAGTGTCACCCAGGCCAAGCGCTCCCCAGCAATCCTGCTTGAGAGGGGAATATGTGACAAAGTCACTGCAGTGTCCTATTCTAGCTAGTCTGCCTGGTCCCAGAATGTCCTCTGTTGGAGCCTCCTTTTCTATGGAAGGGTCCCCGTTCCCCTCACTCACCGCAGGTTGATGCAGGGCTCCCCGCCAGTCCCACTCTCAACTCCGTTTGTCAATTCCCACTCTCAGAGGTTTTGCCTCTCTGTCCCTGCTGTGCCAATTCAGATGCAGCAGCGGCAGCAGGAAATTCAAATCAGTTTCCAGAGGCGCGGGTTCCAGCTTCAGTGCTGAGATTTTATCTGTTCCGGTTATAGCATCGGGATTGCATTTCCAGTTGGTTTAGTTTGTTCCTGGGTCGGCAGGGTATATCTCCCCTTGCTTAGGACTCCTCATACTGCACCATTCCTGGATTCTAAGCTGGCTAACTCAGAGAGCCTCCATAGCTGCTGTTATCTATCTGCCATGTTCTCCCGGAAGTCTTTTTTTTTTTTTTCTTGAGGCAGTGTCTGACCATGTAGTAACTATATAGCCCAGGTTGGCACTATAGTCTAGCAGTCTTTCTGCCTCAGCCTTCTCTTTTGAACTAATCAGGCCCACAGGCTTCTAAACAAGTGTATGGTGAATGGCTTACATAAAGAGAGACAGTCAGTATGGTTTTGGGGGCTCCAAGAAGGTCAAAACTCTGAGAGTAAAGATTCTCTGGGAGGAAAGGTGAAGAGCTTCACTACACAACCCATATTTATTTGGTTTTCAAACAGAGAAAGGGGATACTGAGGCAAAGTGGGAACTGAGCAAGAACTTGGAATGTTAGTTTGAAGACTTTCCAAGCACTTTAAGTGAATTGTTTGATTTCTAAAGTTGCCAGCTTTATTGCTCTTGATATGGAGTGTCAGTAGCTCATGTCCTCGGGTGCCTCAGCTGTGGTTCTGTTGAGTTTAGAACACTATAAATATGAACTTTTTCAAGATAGCCAGAGGTCTCTTCATGGTCTACAACTTAACCCTTATACAGCGTGGTCTCTGACACTTTCCCCTCTTTCTTTTTGTAATTGCAGCAGTTGAAACATTATGATGGGGTTGGACATGTCTAGGCATTGTCAGGTTTGGTGTCCCATGCAGCAGACTAAGAACATAAATGGCATGTTAATGTAATCAATTAAGTGTAGAATCCAAGGTGGTTCTGGTTGTAGCAGACTTTACCACAGGTTTGGAGATCTATCTATAGCCACATGTATCGGGATAGCATCTCCGATGATGTTTTAGGACCTGTAAATACACAAGCATACCCTTATCTCTGTGTTGCTAAGTATTGGGCCATCCTGCTTTCTTGTTTAGATGTCTTTTTGCCAATGAAGCACTTAGAGAATGTTTTTTTTTTTTTTTGTTAGGGTTAAAAATTCGTTTTTAAAATATAAAGGTTTAATTATGTTTGTGGGGTAACCATATTTCCCCCTTTTTGTTTATTGATTTTTAATAGTTTGATATGCTTTTTATTTTTAATGCCTGGCCTTTAGCAAATTGACCATAATTGACCATAATTGTCTGTGTTGAAGGATCACCCTTTCTAACCACCTGTAATATTTGTAACTTACTTAGTTGTCTTCTCTGAAGAGCTCTCCCTAACTGTGTTTAGGGAAGACTGGGTGTAGTTTCCGTCTTAACTGCTTTGAGCTGAAAAGGGTTGATTAAGGGGAGACCACACTAAGCCCCCTCCAGAGTGCTAATCTAATGGACTTTAGATACGAGTCTTGTGGTTTAGCAATTATGAACTCTATTAATAGGCTTCATCTGGTGGATTCCAGAGGAAAAGGAATCTAGCATATTTGTTATTGGTTTTTATTTGTGTGATCACTTGAAGTTTGGTAGCCTATAGGCAAAAATAAACTAATTTTGAGGGAAATTAAAGCTTGTTTGGTCAAAGCATGAGCACTAGAATGGAAAACTGAGTTTGGGAAAGTGCCAAGTGTAGAAACTTTTTATGGGACTAGAATAGTGCTTGTAACCCACTATCTCTTAGATCTCACTCCTGATGGAGTCTGATACTTTTGTCATAAGCCTCTCTAGTTTTAGCTGATTTTAGCTAGAGAGTAAAGATTTTTATTGAGCTTTTATAGCTTTTATTGTAATTTTTTTCTTAATGACCTGTAACAGTGGTCAGGACATTCTTAGTAGGGGTTAGTAATTGGAGTCCCTTTCTTTTTTTTTTTTTTTTTTTTTTTTTGGTCTTTTTCGTTTTTACCGCTACTGGGGATCGAACTCACGACTGCCTGCTTGCAAGGCAGGCACTTATGCCGCTGAGCTAAATCCCCGGCCCTGGAGTCCCTTTCTATATCTAGCTTATTATTATGGCAGCATTGTTTGATACATTATACTTTTCTGCTGGATTTTTAAGACTAATTAAAGTGAGACCTATATTACTCAAAATTAACCTGTTACCTATCAAATTCTGTTAAGTCACCTCAGGATTTATTTTGGAGCCACATACAGTGCCTCATAGAAGTTCTCTCAGTGTCAGCCATCAGGATGCATGATGGCCTTTGCTTGACCCAGTTGCTTTCTGTGAAAGCATGGGAGACTCTTTCTCGATGACCCTCTTTAGGCATACTATACACCACTTATTTTGTCTTCTGTGATCTACCAGTGTCTCTGATTAAGGCTGGATGATTCACCAGAGGTATAGGATGTCACAGAAAAGGTCCATCTGGGAAGGCAGGGCCAAAGTATTTATTGTCCTCTTAGCCCATCTATCTTTTGGTTTTGGTCCCCAAATCTCTTATGTTAAACACCTAGGAGAGAAAATCAGTGACATTAGCATTGCAGTGGAAGTTTTGTGCTTAATTATAATAATAATACTTATTATTATTTGGTAGTCGGAATTGAGTTCAGGACCTCATACTTGCTTAATTATTATACTTCCATCTGAATATCAGGACCTTTGAAATATAAACTGAGGACTATTATTTGTTACTGTCATGTCAGTGGCCCCCAGGCCTCATGCATTTGCATTGTGCATTTGTGATTGGTTCCTTGTCTAGCGCTAGGATTGATGGAGTCAGTGCTACACCCACCTAGGGATGGAGCCAGCATACAATGTAATGGCAGGAAGAAGGAGTGTCATTCTCTCTTGCTGGTTTCCACCTTGCTGTTTACAGCTGCCATGAACTGCTGTCCCCCTACTCCATGCCACCCTACCTTGGACCCAACTGAGTATAGACTGAAACCTCCAAAAACTATAAGAAATAAACCTTTCTTTCCCAACTTTGAGCGTCAGGCATTTTGTCTCAGCGATGAGTAAAAAGTGACTAAGACAGTTATTAACCATGGATGTTCTAGTAGAAATTTTTTCTTTTTTTTGAGATGGTCTCGCTGTGCAGTTCAGGTTGGTCTTGGACTCACTTTGTTGCCCTTGCTGGTCTCAAACTTGCAGTGATCCTTCTGCCTCAGCCTCCCAAGTGCTAGTATGCCTGGCTTCCCTATAGAATCCTAAAGACAACATTTATATAGCTTTATGAAGAAAATTTGAAGTCAAAAGCCATACATAATATTTTAGCATGACAATCATGATATTATTTTTGCAATACATTTTAATGTCCATCTTAGCATAGAATAGACTTCTTAATCTTCTCTAGGACGTAAAGAAACTCTTATTTTTTTTGTCCTTTAATGGGATATCATTGAAGAAGCTTATGCCATATCTGAATACTTAAATTTCTGAGAAACACTTAAGTGTGGTGATGTACACATCACATAACTTTTTGTTAAAAAAATTATCATTTGGTGATCTAATGTTAATTTAACATGAACCTTCTCTCAAGTAACTGGAACATAAGAGAAAGGCAGACATCCCAATCGAAAAGAAAAAGCTTATCATCATAAACAATCTCAGCTTTACATTTTGGAAAATCTGTACATCTGAAAACATAAATATACTTAATTTCGCATTAGATAATAATGAATTGTCATAGCCATATTGAAAACTTTTGTTTGCCAGTTTAGCTTTGTAGCAAAAGCATCTTTTAATGAGAAAACTTATTTTATTTATAGAAAACATAAACTTTTGACAGTTGACCAGCATAAACATATTACATTAATTTTTTGTTTGTTTTGATTTTTTTGGTACCAGGGATTGAACTCACAATCTTGTGCTTACCAGATAGGTATTTGTGTCACTATGCCCAGCCCCCACATTAATATTCTTAGCAGTTTATTGGAGTGTCTCTCATAAAACCATGGAGACTAGTGGGGCCCCCATTAATGAACAAAGGATGTAATAAGATTTTGCCAGGTAGCTGCTCTTTTACTCACCAAAAGGAGTCTTGTCCAGAAATTTCTGCATCCTACGGAATTTCTGTTCAGTTATCTTTAAAAAAAAAATAGATGACCTATGAGAACAAGATCATAACAACTGACACATTATTTTGAACCAGTGAAAAACTCTAAAATTATTGTACACAGACAATATGTGTACATATCTGAACTACTTAAGACATATTTGAACTACTTAATTTCTAAGAAACAATATGCATTGCATTTATAAAACCAATCTTGATATCACTTTGATCCAGTGGCAGTCTGTATAGAACCATGTCCTTAGTTTTAATTACACTTAAAACAAGCTTAAAAGTCCAAAAATGCAGAAGAAAGAAATATATACTGAACTCAAATAAAACAGCTGTTTATAGATTGGACAGACAGAAAAATAAACACTTCCCGACCTCGTGCTTGCCAGGAAGGTGCTTATGCCACTGAGCTAAATCCCTAGCCCTAAGACAATCTGTTTGTAAAATGAGAATGCACTCAGATATATTTTGGCCAAATTGAATTATAATAACTTTTATAATTTTTTGTTTGTAATTATATATAGACTACTGAGAACTTTTTGTAGGTGAATTAACAGATATTTATTATAAGAATTTGAAGGAATAAAAAATGTTTTGTCTAATTATTATTTTTTAATATTTTGTCTTAAGAATAGTGACAACTTCATGTCTCATTCCTTCATATATACCCTCTAGCTCAGGGATGGCTATATGTTTTGTCACCTACTCAGATACTCTTTTTTTCTAACAGTATTCCTGGAATCTCTTTTTATGTAAGACCTAATATAATTTGGGTTAATATTGTCACAGTTGTGGGATCTCTCTGTAAGACTTGACATAGCAAAGGTGTGTCCAAAGAAATTACTTTAGGTGAGTGAGAAACTAGCAGCAATTTCAGGTAGAGGTGTATTCCTGATTGGTTTCATTCTCTTGATCAATGAAATATAAATTTCTACAAGATTTAAATCTGATTGAAGCTTTTGTGTAGTTTGGGCTAACACTGAATGTTTATAAGATTAGAGTCTCACATCTTGACAAGCTTTTAAGATTTTTCTAGCTCTGGCAGCCTGCTGGTACCTTTGCTTTAGCTTCTGCTGGGGCTGCGTTCTGCTCCCTGGCTCTGTGCTTATGGCACCCCAACACGTGTTGTAAGGGTCTGATTGTAAACTTCATTTATATTTTTAAAAGCCAGTTGAACCACTTGCCCCACTTATGAGTGAGGAATCTGTCTGTGACACTCCCTTGTGTTGTTATGACTACTGGCACCACACAGTCAGCAGCTGGTGCTACCACCATTTGAGGAAAGAATGGTGACCATGTATGTAAGTGAGAAAGGGTGGTTGCCAGTATGCCCCATGTGGATGAAGGCACAGGAAAAGGTGAGCCATCTGTTTGCTTCTCCCTCTGCCGTTGTGAGAGGTGTTCCTCAGCTTGGATGGTTGCCATAGCCTGGGGTGCATAGGTAGAGGGACTTCTGAAGCAAGGAGGCACCTTAAGCATCCACAGGCCATAAAGCTAGATAGAGAAAGCCATAGCTTGAGGCATACAGAAAGTGGGGGCAGCTGGAGTAAATACAGCTTTTGGGTAGACACCATTGATGGACTATGCAAAGTAGGAAAGACAGCACAGGAGTCAGTATAAAAATTGTGAGTGTGAAATAAAATATGACAAAGAAGCACCTAACTATCCCTCCCCAGTATCAGTTGGATTCTAGTACTGCAGATCCTGCAAAGAAACTACTCATTCGAAAACACATAGGTATAGTTTGGACTTACTTCTCTTTTTCTCCATTGTTTTTTGTGGTTGGGTTTTTCTTTCTTTGCTTTTCTTTTTCTGTTATTTGCTTTTCTTTCTTTGCATTTCTTTTTCTTTTTTTTTTCTTTTTTTTTTTGATTGTTCTCTCCTGATTTTTATCTAGTTCTATTCTCTTTTACTCTATTATAGGATCCTTTATCTCTCTTTTTCTTTCTCCTCATGTTTTTTATCTTTGTTTTTCAAATTTTACTTCTTTCACTTTCCCCTTCTGCACCCCTCCATCTTTACTAGTATTCATATTAGGCTTTAGCTCACTTGTTTTTAGGAAATAGGTCATAGAGTTAGATCTATCAATCTTTAGATATTTAGTTGATTCTATGCTATTACCATTGAATTCTTTTCTACTATTAATGATGATTCAGTTAATGTATTTAAAAGATATTTACTGTATGTCAAAGTTTAATTTGTCTTTATTTCTGTATTCTAACTGGATTTCTTTTATTGTTAAGCCTGGGACTGTTGCAGCTTTTATGGTTCTTATGCTGTGGCACCAACTAAGCTTGTCTTTGATTCTGTTATTGGTGGTTTTTGTCCCTATTGCCAGGGTGGCATGGTTGTTCCTGTTAATTGATTTCTACTGAATGCAAATATCTGATTTGTCTTTATATCATTATCAATAATACTGTGACCCATTTTTGGAGAATGGTATGCTGGGCCAGTTACACTTCGTGTCCAACCCCAAAATTAATAGTTGCTTGTACCTTGGGATAGAAGCCACGACCTATAGTTAGCCACACCCAGAGTCACTGTAGTCACTGTAAACCAGACACTAACTTAAGAGATCTTTATACTAGCTAGCTGCAAAGCCTTTCCATTATTTATTTATTTATTTATTTATTACCGGTACCGGGGATCGAACTCAAAACTGCCTGCTTGCAAGGCAGGTGCTTATGCTGCTGAGCTAAATCCCCAGCCCCATTTTTTTTCCATTATTTTTTTTGTTCTTCACACTTGAGCACATACAACACATATTTGTGCACACACACGCACATGCAAAAGAATGGAAAAAAAAAAGAAAGATGAAATTGAGGAAACAAGGCAACGTAATGCCTCATAAAACTCCCAACTCCGCAAGAGCTGATCTCTTGTAGTGGAGGAAAGCAAAAGCCAAACTGCTGGGTTATACAAAGTGATGAAACAGGACATGCACACACATACACACTGCAAATCAGTAAAGTGTTTAGTGAGCTCAAAGATATAACTAAACAGATAATGGACTGAATAAAAAAGTTTTTAAAAGACACTAATAACAAGCTAGCTGAGGCACACGTATAATCCCATTGTTTGGGCAGCTGAGGCAAAAGAATCACAGTGAGTTCTTGGCCAGTCTGAGCTACAGAGTAAGCTCAAGGCCTGCCTGAATTGCATAGTGAAATCCTGTCTCAAAAAGACAAAAAAGAGACTGGGGATGTAGCTCCATGGCACAGTGCCTGCCTAACAGGCACAAAGCCAAGAGTTTGATTCCTGGTACCAGAAAGAAAAAAGAAAAAAAAACTAACTAAAAAATATATATGAATGACCAGTTCAGCAAAGACTTACAGTCCATGAAAAGATACAAAACAGAAATAGAGAAAATAAAAATTCTGTTGGAAATATGGGCAGAGATGATCAGTGTAAGGAGAAACTATCAGAACTTGAAAATAGAGTTAATGTAGATAGCCATATACTTAGATATATTTCAAACAACAAGAGGTCTTGAAAAAAAGATCCAGCAGCTGTTAGTGGGTGCAGAAAAAAGAGTATAGGTAATTAAAACTGGTGAAAAATCAGAAGACCACACAGGTTTTTAAAAAATTCACAGACATAATAGCACAAAACTTTCCAAATATGGGAAAAAGAGTTGTGCTATTTTCAGATAAAGTGAGCTTTAAGCTAGAACTGATCAGAAAAGGCAAAGAAAGAGCATACTGATTAAGGGAGCAATTCGACAGGAAGAGATATGAAATATAAATGTGCACCAAACCAGTGCACTCAACTTAATACAACAAACACTACTGGACATAAAGGAGCAGATAAATAGCAACACAGTTATAGTGGAGGGCCTTGATATTCCACTGTTACAAAGATATCAACAAGGCCCAAATATCAACAAAGAATTATCAGAGCAGAACTGCACCTCCAAAGAAATCAGTATAACAGAGCACTGCAGAGTGTTCCAGCCCCAACAACAAAACACACATTGTTCTTGGGTATATGTGGAACTTTCTCCAAAATAGACTCTACTCTAGCCTATAAAGTGTGTTTAAACAAGTAAGTAAATAGTTGAAATTATTCCGTGCGTATTATTATGTCATATGCAATGAAACTAGAAAACAGTGAGAAAAAAACCATAAAAATGATGGACACACATAAAAAAACCTATACCAAAAACTATAATAAAGGAATTGAAGAGGACATTGGAAAATGAAAAGATATCCCTTTTTCTTGGAAAATCAAAACCAGTATTGTCAAAATGATTATACATCCTAAACTGATTTTTTAAAAAAAGTATACAACTCAATCCTAATCAAAATAAGAACATTGCTCACTGTACTAGAGGAAACCATCCTAAAATTCATGTGGAGTAGAATACCCAAAGCAATCCTGGCAAGAAGAGCAATGCAGATAGCTTCATAATACTGATTTCAAGTTATATTGCAAAGCTACAGTGATAAAAACAACAAGCTATTGACCCAGATGTTAATCCTTGGAACAGAATAGAGGGTTTAGAAATAACTCCAGATACATTAAGCTATCTGATCTTTGACAGAGTACCCAAAAACATATACTGGAGTAAAGATAGCTTCTTTAGATAATGGCGCTAGGAAACCTGGTTACACACATGTGGAAATATGATTCTAGGTCTATATCTGTCACCACGTACTAAACTAATAACAAAATGAGTCAAAACCTGAATATTAAACACATGCTGAAAGATACAATAGGTAAGGTTGTTAAAGGCATTAGGCACAAGAAATAACATTGTGAATCCACAATTGAGTTTACATCAAATTTAAAAACCTCTGCATAGGGGCTGGGAATTTAGCTCAGCGGCATAAGTGTCTGCTTTGCATGGTCGTAAGTTCGATCCCCGGTACCGATTTAAAAACAAAACAACAACAACAACAAAAAAAAAACCTCTGCATAGCAAAGGAAACAAATAATAGAGCAAACAGACAACATAAAGAATGGAAAAATAAATTTTGGCAGCTATTCCTTCAGCAATAGACAAAATCCAGATATATAA